ACCTCTGTGGCTGTAAGGTTGATGTTCTCTAATACCGGCCCTTGAGCTTCTATCACTGCAATCTGAGAGGGTGGGGTATTTTCTACTGTAAATACTGACTGAAACTCCTTGTTCAATTCTTTGCAGATCTCTTCGTCCGTCTCAGTGATGCTTCCATCCGCTCTCTTTAGCCTTAAAACCTGTTCTTTTACCTTCAGTTTTCCTCTGATAAAGCTGTGGAAAAGCTTGGGATTTTCTTTAGCCTTCCTGGTGATGTCCCTCTCATAATCTCTCTCTGCCTCTCTCCTTTTACTTAGGTAGTCATTTCTTGCTCTTTTGTAGGTTTGCCAGGCATTTATGTTTTTTCTCCTCCTATACCTTTTCCAGCATTTGTCTCTCCACTCCTTAGCTCTTTTACACCCATTATCGAACCATTTCTCTCTGGCATGAATTACACCTACTTTGGTGACAGGTGTGCAGCAATCTACTATCTTCCCATATTTCTCACAAAAGATGTCATACATTTCTTGTACAGATTTGTTGTAAAATAAGGTTCTCCAGTCAATAACTGCAAAAAGCTCATTCATTTTGATGTAATCTCCTTTCGGATAGTTCCTCCTCATGTCCTCAGTGCCTCTACTCTCAGGAAGAATGTCTTCAATGATATACTCCATCAACAACACACAGTGGTCACTCTTTCCAATTGGTGGTTCATACTCAATATTTTCAATATCCAACACATTATCTGTGAACACTAGATCAAGTAGTGATGGCTCATCCCCACCCCTGGCTCTTGTTGGTTCCATTACATGTTGGTGTAGGAAGTTCCCTTGTACGCAATCTAGGAATCTTGCCCCAAATGAGTCCTCACCACTGTGTGGGTCAAGATTTATCCAATCTATCTCTTTATGATTAAAGTCTCCCATAATCAAAATCCTACATTTTTTCTCCCGCGCCATGTTAACAACTGAGTTTATGACTTCAATCGTACCTATATGACTTTCCTCATAAATTTCAAGCCTATTTTGGTTCCTTGGTGGGTTGTATACAACAGTTATTATAATGCTCTCTGACCCAGTATTTATGCGAGCAACAAGAAATTCCCTGAACTCACTTTCTATAGCCAAGTTTATTTCTTCGACTTGAATCCTTTCACTTATGAGCAGTGCTATCCCTCCACCAGTCCTCTCAGATCTTTCGACCCTTAGTATTCTGAAGCCCTTAGGAAAAACTGTGACACTGTTTATGTCCTCACTCAACTTAGTCTCTGTAATTGCTACTATATCTGCCTTACTGTTGTGAATCCTATCTTTTAATTCTACTGCCTTACCAGCTAATCCATCAGCATTTGTGTATAACAATCTTAATGAGGCCCCATCCCCTGATCTTCTGTCATTATCTTCTTTATCTCCCCTTTGTCTGGAAGTATTCTGTAACGAAAATTTTTCTTCTCTTCTTTCATCATTTAACCTTCTTGCCTCTTGCAACAAGTTTTTGATCTTTCCCATCTCTTCCTGTGTTCTGTATCGTCTAATGAACACTTCTTTGCATTCTTGAAGGTCTTTTAGACTTTTTTTTCTCAACAATATTTCCCTACATGTCTCCCCTCTCTCAAAGGTTACTTTTGTTGGTCTCGGCTTTCCTTCCCTCGAATATTTACCTAGTTGGTGTGTGTGTGTGTGTGTGTGTGTGTGTGTGTGTGTGTGTGTGTGTGTGTGTGTGTGTGTGTGTGTGTGTGTGTGTGTGAGAGAGAGAGAGAGAGAGAGAGAGAGAGAGAGAGAGAGAGAGAGAGAGAGAGAGGGATATGACACTGCAACTTTGCGCAGGACTTTGGTTATGGCAAGTGCGACCGCTACTCCCTGAGTGAATGTTCTCTCTAAGTTCTTCAGACTAGGGCGGGCCTCGAGCCCACGGTCTGACGAATCAAAGTTGCGAGCGCTGTCCTTAGGCCACGTTGGCCACACACACTAACACAAACTCATACATACGTACATACATACATACATACATACATACATACATACATACATACATACATACATACATACATACATACATACGTACATACATACATACACACACTTTATATATATATATATATATATATATATATATATATATATATATATATATATATATATATATATATATATATATATATATATATATATCAAATAAGCACATTACATATGTGAAAACATGAATAATTTTTTACCCCGACCGGGACTCGAACCTAGGACTTATGATTACTAAGTCAAGGCGCTACCACTACACCACAGAAGGTTAAAAGGAACCCAACCTTATAGCTTATATCTGCTATACTTGGGAATGAACGCATTCTAACTGAATGCCACTATGTTCATTTTACAGATTCCCCAACCTCACTCGTGGCTTCATTTTAGCATTTAATTCAATTCCCAATCTCATTCGGGCATGAAATATCAAATAAGCACATTACATATGTGAAAACATGAATAATTTTTTACCCCGACCGGGACTCGAACCTAGGACTTATGATTACTAAGTCAAGGCGCTACCACTACACCACAGAAGGTTAAAAGGAACCCAACCTTATAGCTTATATCTGCTATACTTGGGAATGAACGCATTCTAACTGAATGCCACTATGTTCATTTTACAGATTCCCCAACCTCACTCGTGGCTTCATTTTAGCATTTAATTCAATTCCCAATCTCATTCGGGCATGAAATATCAAATAAGCACATTACATATGTGAAAACATGAATAATTTTTTACCCCGACCGGGACTCGAACCTAGGACTTATGATTACTAAGTCAAGGCGCTACCACTACACCACAGAAGGTTAAAAGGAACCCAACCTTATAGCTTATATCTGCTATACTTGGGAATGAACGCATTCTAACTGAATGCCACTATGTTCATTTTACAGATTCCCCAACCTCACTCGTGGCTTCATTTTAGCATTTAATTCAATTCCCAATCTCATTCGGGCATGAAATATCAAATAAGCACATTACATATGTGAAAACATGAATAATTTTTTACCCCGACCGGGACTCGAACCTAGGACTTATGATTACTAAGTCAAGGCGCTACCACTACACCACAGAAGGTTAAAAGGAACCCAACCTTATAGCTTATATCTGCTATACTTGGGAATGAACGCATTCTAACTGAATGCCACTATGTTCATTTTACAGATTCCCCAACCTCACTCGTGGCTTCATTTTAGCATTTAATTCAATTAAATGTGCTTATTTGATATTTCATGCCCGAATGAGATTGGGAATTGAATTAAATGCTAAAATGAAGCCACGAGTGAGGTTGGGGAATCTGTAAAATGAACATAGTGGCATTCAGTTAGAATGCGTTCATTCCCAAGTATAGCAGATATAAGCTATAAGGTTGGGTTCCTTTTAACCTTCTGTGGTGTAGTGGTAGCGCCTTGACTTAGTAATCATAAGTCCTAGGTTCGAGTCCCGGTCGGGGTAAAAAATTATTCATGTTTTCACATATGTAATGTGCTTATTTGATATTTCATGCCCGAATGAGATTGGGAATTGAATTAAATGCTAAAATGAAGCCACGAGTGAGGTTGGGGAATCTGTAAAATGAACATAGTGGCATTCAGTTAGAATGCGTTCATTCCCAAGTATAGCAGATATAAGCTATAAGGTTGGGTTCCTTTTAACCTTCTGTGGTGTAGTGGTAGCGCCTTGACTTAGTAATCATAAGTCCTAGGTTCGAGTCCCGGTCGGGGTAAAAAATTATTCATGTTTTCACATATGTAATGTGCTTATTTGATATTTCATGCCCGAATGAGATTGGGAATTGAATTAAATGCTAAAATGAAGCCACGAGTGAGGTTGGGGAATCTGTAAAATGAACATAGTGGCATTCAGTTAGAATGCGTTCATTCCCAAGTATAGCAGATATAAGCTATAAGGTTGGGTTCCTTTTAACCTTCTGTGGTGTAGTGGTAGCGCCTTGACTTAGTAATCATAAGTCCTAGGTTCGAGTCCCGGTCGGGGTAAAAAATTATTCATGTTTTCACATATGTAATGTGCTTATTTGATATTTCATGCCCGAATGAGATTGGGAATTGAATTAAATGCTAAAATGAAGCCACGAGTGAGGTTGGGGAATCTGTAAAATGAACATAGTGGCATTCAGTTAGAATGCGTTCATTCCCAAGTATAGCAGATATAAGCTATAAGGTTGGGTTCCTTTTAACCTTCTGTGGTGTAGTGGTAGCGCCTTGACTTAGTAATCATAAGTCCTAGGTTCGAGTCCCGGTCGGGGTAAAAAATTATTCATGTTTTCACATATGTAATGTGCTTATTTGATATTTCATGCCCGAATGAGATTGGGAATTGAATTAAATGCTAAAATGAAGCCACGAGTGAGGTTGGGGAATCTGTAAAATGAACATAGTGGCATTCAGTTAGAATGCGTTCATTCCCAAGTATAGCAGATATAAGCTATAAGGTTGGGTTCCTTTTAACCTTCTGTGGTGTAGTGGTAGCGCCTTGACTTAGTAATCATAAGTCCTAGGTTCGAGTCCCGGTCGGGGTAAAAAAAAAAAAAAAAAATTATTCATATATATATATATATATATATATATATATATATATATATATATATATATATATATATATATATAATAACCATTTCAACTTATATGTAAATCCTGTTCATAGTCTTTTCCCCGAACTATTTTCATTTATTGTTTACTGTGACATGCATGACTGTTTGCTTTTAATTTTGATGCTACTTATAGTGTTATTATCTGTGTATACGTAACAGTGCTCCATGATATCGATCCTATCCTTCTTGTTCCTGGGGAACTCGGTATTTGGGTCAAAACGTTAGCTAAATATGGAAAATTTTGAAGGACTTTAATTACTTCATTGGTAATGAAGGCATGGAAAATGTTCTCGTAATTCTTTACATTTTTTTGTTACAATTAATCCCTTTTCGAATGGGGTGGACACAGACATGTTGGGGATGGGGTATTAAGGATGGAAGCCCTTCCTAATACCATGCGGCGGGATCGAACCAGTATTAGTCAGGTCTGCTACCTCCCAACGAGCACGCTTTACCACTGAGCTACCACGGTCCACGAGTTCACTTTATATGCAAAAATATCTAAACTTCTTTCACTTATTTCTAAACTGTATAAAAGGTAGATAGAAAGAGTATTTTTCATTGTACATAACTCTCAACAGGTACAATGCCATGAGCTTCATTTGTTAAAGATATAAATATATAACTCCATCTATATACATGGTTGCATTACCCTTTGTAAGGGGACTGGTCGAGCCAAGCAACACGCTTTCTTCACGATTCAACACATACCTCAATTACTCCCCTTAGCTCCTTGGGGATAAAGGGTTGCCACATTTCCTCCCTACCACAATGCTTGGGTCATTCACAAAGTAGGCTGGCAAGGATATTCTGCAGTGAGGCCCGAAAGCAGCATCTGGTTTACCTCTACCGCTCCATCACTTGACAACTTCACTCCCAGCCGTCCATCACAGTTCACTTTAGCAGGTACGAGAAATCCCTTTGGCAGCGTCACCTATACACAACATTCCTCCACTCATTTCTATCTCTTGTACGCTCTCTCCTAGGGTCCACCGACATTCCACGTGCATCCAATGCCCGTTCAC